CCCCTAAGCCATGGTTTATTTTTGCTGCTGATCCGCCATAATATCCAATCATTAAGCTTATTTTTTTGTTTTAAAAAAAGCTTTTCTTTTGAGTTCTGAAGAAAATGAGGCTGCCTTTGAAAGCCAATTATTTTGGATTCATTTTGAGTGCACTAGCAATATGAATAAGAATAGCTGAGAGGAATACAGGCAGCAGAGCTAGGACACTAGTGGGAGTAGTGAGTGATGAGACAGCAAATGACAACTGCATTGTGACCTTTAGCAAGAGACTGAGTTTAAGTTTTATCATCCCTGAAATTCATTCATTCACTGATGACCACTATGTGTTGGTAAGTCTTCCAGGTACTAGTGATGAAATAGTACACAACAAGTGGTGGCAGATGACATAGCAAATGCAGATAGATACCTAGAGCAAAACCAAACTTACTTGTATAAGAAAAAAGTCCAATGTAGATGCAATGTAATAAGGAAGGGGAAGAAGCTGTGATTGTAGAAGAGTTACAGAGCTGGAAAGATGCCAGGTCATGTGGTCTTAAGAGGCAATATTAAGGATACTGATTTTTTGCTAAGGAAGATGAAACTGATAAAGGATTTTAAGCAAAGGCATGGCATGATCTGATTTACATTTTTGTAAGATCGCTCCTGTTACAGAAAGAATGGGTAAGAGGTGGAGAGTGAACAGCAGGCCAAACTACTAGGATAAACAGCAGAAATAGAAGCTGTAACAAGACGACAGTAGTAGAGATGGTCAGATACAGACTATATTTTGTTGTTTTGCTTTTTAAAAGATTTTATTTATTTATTTATTTATTTAATAGACTACATTTTGTATGGACTTGACTTTCTGATGGGCTGTATGTAGGTATGACAAAAAGAATGGAATCAAGAATGGTTACGATTTTTATGTGAAGTAGGTAAATTAAGTTACTCAAGGGAGGGTAAAGAGTGCCAGTCTAAGGGTACATGGACTAACAATTCTGTTTTCATCATGGGAATTTAAGGTGCATATTAGGCAACCAAATTTTGAGATGTCATGTAGGCAACTGGGTTACACAAATCTGATGCTCCATGAGGATAGGTGAGGGCCAGCATATTAAGCATCATTTATAGTCTGAGGAAGGAGTTAGATTTCTTGCAAAGAAAATGTATATATACAGAAAAACAGAGAATATAGACCAAGAATGTTGCTAGAAAGTGAAAATGACTGTAAATGACTCTTGCTATCACTAATATTTGGGGCCTACAGTGCAACTTTCTCTAACAACTTAGAAATTAAAGAAATATATGTGCTGCCAAAGTGAGCACAAGAAATTAAAGAAATAATGGTGCTATCCCGGTTAAACTGTGAAGTCAACATATAATAGGCCAGAGCAGAGATATACAATGCCACCTTCCAAACCTGTGACTTCACTATAGTCTGTGCTATAGACTAAACCTGCGATGGAAAACCTTTTAGAGCTTTCAATGAGAACAAACAGCTGGCTATGGCATGAGTGCCATAGGTTCAACACCACTGGCTAAACGGTGTGCCTCAAAAATTCGTATGTTGAAGCCCTAATGCCTAGTTACTCAGAGAGTAACCGTATCTGGAAAGAAAGCTTTTAAAGAGGAAATTAAGTTAAAATGGTTCTTCCAGGTAAGACCTAATACAGTATGACTGATGTCCTCAAAAGATGAGGAACTTTGAACACACATGTGTGCGCACAGAGGAAAGATCATATGAACAGAGATAGAGGGAAAAGGCGGCTACCTGCAAGACAAGGAGGGAGGCCTCTGAGGAAATTAGCACCTTGATCTGGGACTTTCAGCCCCCAAAAGTGTGGAAAAATAAGTTTTTGTTGTTTAAATCACCATTCTGTGGTGTCTGTCTGTTATGGTAACCCTAAAAATTAGTATATTATTAAATATAAAAACACAAAAGTAAAGAAAATTAGAAGATCAGTTAGAAAGGGATTTAATCATGTAAGGAAGCATAGATAAAATAAGATATGCTAGAGTTTGAGACCAAAGTGGTCAGCTGAAGGACAGCAATTTGGAAGAAATGTTACATCAAAGGAAAGGTGGGTAAGTCCTAAATGCAAATATATCCACAAGCTCGTCATCAGAGAGGCTGACAAAATACTGATGTGGGAGGGGGTGTCAAGGTAGGTAAGGGATTAGAAAGACAAAGTGAATATATGATCTGAAATGCACGAAACAGAACCCACTATGAGTAACGGTGAGGCAAGCTTTCCATTGACAGTAGATTAAACTTGCCATCAAATTCCTTTCTTTTGTATATTCAAGGACATAGGCTTTGAAAAGAATGGCTAGTTCAGACAGAAATTCACTTCTTGCATCAAGAGACCACCAATGGTCTCCAATATTCATTCTCCCTTCTTTAGTTAATAACAATCCTGAGTTTTTAGTTGGCACATTTCCACCCCAATAAAATATAACTTATTCTTTTCTTACAGTTAAATATAACCCTATGACCAGGGTTCTGGTCAATGAGCTGTAAGAGGGGTAAGAAGCTTCTTGGAATGTAGATATGATGGTGGAAGTTCCAAAAATAATCTTTGCCACCTTCACCCATAGTACAAAGGCACACCTCAGAGATGGGGGCAGAAGTGGAGACAGAAGGGAACCTGGGGCCCTGGCAACTGAGGAGCTTCCCTATCAGCCCTGGACAGTCTATCTTCAGAGCTCTTCAGTGTGAGAGAAATAACCTTTCCTTTGCGTATAGAATTAAGTGCTTATCGCTGCACTATCCTTCTTTCACAGTCTATCTCTACCCTATTTGATCAATATCATCACCTCATGAACTCTATGCTCCTTTCTCTATTCCCTAAATATCCCCATCACTATTCTGATTTCATAGTATTTTTTCAATTGTTTTCTCTGAGTGTAAACTCCTATTTCCTGTTTTCTGCCTTCTTATATATTAAGCTTCCTCATTCTTAAAAATGATACTTTCACTAGGGAATAAAGGCAATTTGCTTGACCTATCTCTGTCCCTTGACATATTAATGGCATCTCTAGACTTATTTAAATGATTCCTTTTTCTTTCGCTGCCCGATGTGTGTCCTTTGAAGCTGTGTGCTCAGATCAGAAAGATAATCTTCCAAGGTACAGAGTCGCCATTTTCATCCCAGTGGTCTACAAGAATCTGTGCTATTTTCCCTTCCAAATTTCCTAATTTTTTTCATTTCTATTTGATTTGTTTTCTCTTGGCATTCCAGTGCCACTTACTTACCTTTTTTCACTTTTTCTGTCTTTTTAAATAAAGATCATTTTATTTACTCATCTAATCAACATATATGGAGGAGAGTCAGAAGGTAGGGTAGCATGAATCTGATTGAGTTCTACACCAGAAATGTAATTTTGAAAATTGTACTTCATTGAGTCATTTGAACACCTTTAATTAGCTATTATCACTCCTTTTTTACAATGGGGAAGCAGTTTGGAGATGTTATGTTACTTGTTCAAGATCAGACAACTGGAAAGAGATGTAACTAAACTTTGTTAGATTCATCTCCTGTGTTCTTGTCATTATTCCATGCCAACTTCTCTCAGGGTGAGCAAATAAGAGGATTTCCTGTGGAATTTGCTTGTCTTGTTTTGTTTGGCAAACACAGTAGTTGCTAGTTTTGTTTTTAAATTTGAATGACTATATATTGCCGCCAGTACAGAGGGCCTGCACTTTCCAATCCTCTAATACCCCGCCCTAATCCCTGTGGCCACCTCACCCATTTGGGTCATCTTCCTGGCTCCCAGGCTTTTGTGTTTTTGTTCTCTAGTTTCCTTCAAGGCTGTCTGAAACGATTTGATCCCCGGTACCAGAGAAAAAAAATTCACAAAGGTGTCTGAAGTGACATCTCCTAGCCCAAAGTCAAGGAGCCTGGGCTAAAGTCACAGCTAGGTCAGGCACTATTCTTATTTTAGGGTTAAAAAAGAAAAAAAATGGAATCTTCCCTTTTGTCAAAAAGAGACTTTTCCCTTTTCTCAGAGGATTTTCTTGACCAAACTTGTGATTATAATCCTTCTTATCTTCGTATGTATACATCTCTTTTTTAAAGTCAAATAAGCCTCTTGTCAGATATAAGCTAGGAATGTAGACTTTTAACAGTTAAGTAAATCAATCTCTTGTCAGATACAAGCCAAGACTCTTTTTTTTTTCCAAGACAGTCTCTGGCTTTGTAGTTCAGGCTGTCTCTGAACTCACTATGTATGTAGCCCAGGCTGTCCTTGAACTCGCAGCGATCCTCCTGCCTCAGCCTCCCAAGTGCTGGGATTACAGGCGTGCACCACCAAGCTTTTTCTTAAGGGCCGAGAAACAACCTTTTGAAATGTCAATATCAAGAAAGACAGTGCTTTTATTTTCTGACACCAAGAGAGTTATCCTAAATGCCTTGATCCAAGCTGTTAGGTACCTGCTTGCCAGAAAGATAGAGGAGTTTTGTTATGGCTCTGGATAAATTAACCAACCTGGACGGCCACCCCAGGGGTCGACTACCAAAGCCTGAGTAATAATAGTAAATAGTGCTCTCAAAGCCTCCTACGTGAGATTTTACATAAAATGGATAGCAACTGGTTGGCTAAAGGGTGTGATTTCTTTTTGACTTTGTAATCTCATCATTGCCTGTGACGCTCGTCCCAGTCTGTTTTGACGCTCATATAATAAAACGGAGGGGGGTTTTGTTTGTTTGGTTGGTTGGTTGGTTGGATTTTTTTTCTTCTTCTTCTTCTGGTCCTGTATGTGTGGAGGTTTTCTGGGGTAACGAGATTTAAAAAAATTTCCTGGTCAATATCAATTTACTTAAATCTCCAATCTTTACTAGCGTCCCTCCGCCGCCACCTTCCCAACTGCTTTCAATGGTAAAATAGGTCCGTCGTAACTACTTCTCGGCTCACCTTGAAGTGCGCTCTGTGAGCGCGGCGGGGAACCGCAGCCCTCCACTGCCACCCTCCACTCCCAGCATTCCCAGCGCTCCCATCGCCCCCGGCTTCCTTTTCCGGCCCGCGGCTGCGGAAGCTGAAGGGGCTGAGATTATTAGTTTGTGGCTCCGGGGTTGATTCACCTTCTCCTGGGCAGAGCCCCGGGCCACCCGCAGAAGAAGCCAGGCGAGCAGTAAAACATGAACGGAAGAGTGGATTATTTGATCACTGAAGAAGAGATCAATCTTACTAGAGGACCCTCAGGTAGGATTAGGGGACTTTGTGTAATTGCAGAGCTGACAGTATTTTTTCTGGGCCGGATTTACCTGGCCTCAGAGCTGGAAGGCCACGATCTAGAGGTTTCCTTTGACGCTTTATGGCACGTAGAAAGAATACGTTGGCATCCATCGTTGGCCAGGTAACGGGATTCCACTTGCTAACCCAATCGGATCCCCACCCGTATTTATAGTCAGGAAGTTTTCTTTCTGATAATGGTGCTAGAAAAGAATAGGAAAAGGCCTACTTGTGACCCAGCATATCGTGGACGCCACGTCCTTGCCTCCCTCCGTTGGCTGCTCTATCCCTGTTCATATGATGAAACGTTTAGTAAAGACGAGACCATAAACGATGTGGACTATGAATGCATAGCAATTTTCCCGCATCAAGGAACCTTCCCTCCTTTAATTTCTGGGAAATTAATTTACAGTGTCAACTACAATATTAGAGCAGGAAGAGACCCCAGAGATCTATTGCCAAAGCTTCCAAATTTAGTATTGCTGCAAAATTATGAAGGGTGTTTTGATTAAAAAATTAAAATGCGTATTTCTAGGTTCCATCTTGAAGGATCGGATTCGATAGCAAGTTTCATCTTTATTTATTTATTTTTTAAGGAATTTCAATTAAAAAAGAACACCTCGTTATTCAGATACAGCCAAATCTGTACCTGTGCTGTCCTCTTCCCTTCTGACACCCTTCGTTAGACTGGGCTCGGGACTTTACTACATACTGCCTTCCTTGGACTTTGTTGCCTTTTCTTTACAGCTATTTAGTTATCCTTTAAGGCCTTTTGTTTTAGGATTCCACTACTTAGGGTCAAATCTTATGCCTAACCTCTTACTAGTTTGATATGTGTGTGTATTAATTGATTAACTTAACTGATATGAGCTTTAGTTTCTCATCTGTAAAATGGGAATAATTGTGGAATGCATTTCATGGTGTTGTGAAACTGAAATGGGTTAATCTCTCAGTGTATGTTTGCTACTCTTGTTACTCTTAATGGATGAATAGCTAGACTGATACAGCAAGTCCTGCCATATACGCTTATTCCCAGAATTTCTAATAAATCATCAAATACTATAAGCCCTATCTCTAAATCGTTCTGAAAACCTTTCATTCTTTTGTTTCTATTGCTACTACCTAGAGCAATCCATTGCCTTTTCTCATCTGAAAGTTTGCAATAGCTTAATCATCACCAAAGCGCTATGTGTATATATATATATATATACATATATATATATA